TTTCCCCTGTTGATGGTAAGGGTGGCACATTTGTCCAGTCCAAACTCCATTGCAATATCTTGGCTATATATTCAGACAGTGCTGAGCAGCAATTCTATTTCAGATGGTGTTTTTCTATACATTTTCAGATTGTCCATGTAAAGGCTGTAAAGAGGTAGGCTGGCAGATGTTTTTGATGTTTGGTAGCCATGGCCTGACTTGTTCAGTATTGTTGACAGAGGAATCAATGCAATGACAAACAGTAGTGGTGATAGTGAGTCTCCTTGAAAGATTTTTCTCTTGATATTAACCTCTCCCAGTCTATCACCATTGACCAGCAACAACTCTGTCTTCCACTGTGCCATTGGTCTTTGCACAAAGCTTCTGATGTTTTTACTGACTCCTGCTATTTCTAAGCACTTGATTATCCAATCATGTGCCAGGGAGTCAAATGCCTTCTTGTAATCAGTTCAAGCTACATTCAGGTTGGTCTTCCTTCTCTTGCAGTTTTCCAAAATCATCTTGTCAATTAGAAGCTGATCTTTTGTTCCTCTGCACAGTTTCTTTTCTGCTCAGGGAGAAAGAACTTGTTTTCAACTAGATGCTGTTGGACTGCATCAGCTACAACACCAGTTAGCAATTTGAAAGTTGTTGGTAAGCAAATAAAGATGCTGTTGGACTGCATCAGCTACAACACCAGTTAGCAATTTGAAAGTTGTTGGTAAGCAAATAAAGATGCTGTTGGACTGCATCAGCTACAACACCAGTTAGCAATTTGAAAGTTGTTGGTAAGCAAATAATTGGCCTGTAGTTGCCCCTTTTGTTGGATCTTTCATTATCAGGTAGGTTTTGCCAGATGTTAACCAATCTTCAATTTCACCTCCTTGCAGTATGTTATTAAACTGCCTGGCAATGAGTGGGTGCAGAGCAGTCAGATGTTTCAATCAAAAACCATGCAGTTCATCTTCACCTGATGCTGACCATTTCTTGATCTTTCTTGCCCTTTTCTCCACCATTTCTGCTGTTATTACAAGTTCTTTCAA